GTTAGGCATCATTAGAAAAAAATTATAAATGATTGTCACGGGCGGGACACGATAAAACGTTTCAAAATCTCTTAAGTAGGTACTTATAATATAATAAAAGAAATGAAATAGGGCTGCTTAGTATAAACACACTCTAGTTATGAAATTATAGAAAACTCCCTAAAGTAGTAACTAAGCAATACGAAGTTTAAAACTTTTTAGTCACGGGTTGGACATGCTAAACCGTAGTGATTTTATCCTATTATATAATTTAAATGCCTATTTTTCTTCAATGCCATATTGCTTCTTCGGGGCGCAGAAAGATCGAGACATTTATTCCCCCCTTCAAAAAAATAATAACTTTGTGAATACTTGATTTTGCAGAGCCTTCTATATTAAAATATGTTGTCGTATTCAACTACTTTTCTAATGTTGAAGTTTTGAGTGTATTTACAGTGTAATAAAATAATATAACTAAATTTTTTTTCGAAAAAACGTTAATTTCAGGTATTGAGCATTGATTCATCAAGCATTCCATGTTCAATAAGCTACTCTACAATTGGACACAAAGTTTCACTTACTCATGGAATACCCCACATGCACAATATGCATAACATGCATGCATTCAAAAAACTAGCGTGAAAGAGTGTGTAGGTAATAGTTTTCGAATTAAGCAACTTTTAGACTATAAAATCCTTACTTTTGACGACAAAACTGAGTCATAAATTGGCTTTACTTACTTACTTGCTTAATTTTTTATTTCTATAACCAATTTACCAAGCTTGGTAAAAAAAGCCCAAATTAATTAAATAAGTTGCTTAATTTTTACGAGATTTGGGAAATTTTTTTTAATGATTTTGGTAAATTTTATTTTTTGGCCGCGGCAACACTGAAAGCGACACGCGACCGCAAGTACAGATAGTTTTGACAGTGGCAGATAGCATTAAGATGCAAAAAAATCGAGTACGTAAATACATAGTACATACATATGTTTAGCTCAAACGCAAACAATTTATATACATATGTATGTAGTATTGTGTGTAGTTCGAGAGCATATTTAATTATTTGTCTAGCGACATTACAAAATGTCCCAATATTAGCCGGTATTTTACCATTACAAAAATGCTCACCTTTATTGAATATTGACCACAAATCGCGTGGTTTGTCAACACGTTACGTAGCTGTTGTGCCAACATATTTTAATACAGAATTAAATCACTAGAAAATACTTTGATAAAGGACTACTATACATATAAGCTCAACTAGACGATCCAAGCGTAAAATTACTACTAAATACAAGTTCCACTTGGAGCGCTAATCTATTGCGTAAAGTTCCCACTATGATCAACTTAATAATGACATATAGAGATGTGAGAAAACTATTTATGTATTTTTAATGCAGTAGTCGCGACAATGAAAACAAAGACAATTGCTTAAACTCTAGTCTGGAAATGCTATCTTATCCTCCCATTGTTAAAACCTTTATCTTATTTAGTTTTACTACATATTGTTCCGACGACGCCATTGCTGTTGCTATTGTAGCTGTTTACAATATCCTACCTAAATCATCTAACGGTAGCACAGGAAACGGCATCGGCCCAAAAGGAAACTAATCAATCGACTTCTAAAAGTTTTGAAGCAATCGATAGTTTTAGCTCTATCGCAAGTAGAGTTGCCGCAATAGGAAAAATTTAGTTAATAATTTTCCCAAACACCAAATTCGTTCAATTGTACTCGATAAACATTCTAAGTGGGAACGGCGCTTTGCTATTATTTCTCGTTAAACCGAAAATGATTTTTTTGAATCAGCGCGCTTGCGGGTTTGTTTTCGAATATTCTGTAAAATTTTAATGTTTTAAGATAACGTTATATACACTTTACTTAATTGTATTCTTAATCTTTATTTGTATTTGCAATTAAGAACTTGAAATGGAGAATATCAGCATAAATCGTTAAGTTATTCTTTAACACCTTATCAGAGCTGTCAGCTGGGTAAAATTTGATTCAGTAAAATGCGAGTTTTACTAAAACAAAATAACGGGCAGAAGTTAACGTATACTGAACTACAACATTAGTACTACTGGCACGAGGAAGACAAATTTATAAAAATGAACTCACTAAATGGGGAAAAGTACATTTAAACGAAATAATATTCACTTAAGCAAGTATTTAACGTAAAGGCAATTTATTTGAAGCAAGTTAAAATAAGCAATGGAAGAATATCTGTTTGTGTATACATTTGGGGTGTCGTAAGTGTCGTATTGTTGGACGTCGTAAACTTTAAAAGCTTAAATAATTGTTTAGAGAACTTGAAAACACAACCAACTATTTTTTAACATCGCAAAAATGCATAATAGGAAAAGTTTACGACATGCAACAATACGACACTTACGACACCGTTGTGAATACCACAATTCATTTGTCAGTGCTACCAAACCGTACTGCCAAATTATCAGTGACACAAACCAAACAGAGCGGACTATAAATGGGTAGGTTCAGAAGGTGCAGAAGTTGAGCGCAACCGTTGCTAAAAAATCAATGATCGTAATGCGTCTTCTGAACGGCTTGATACATTAGCTGTCAAATTCAAAACACACAACACGTTGTCTCAAATGATTAGAAAAATATTACGATCATCTAACACGCAACTGTTCAGTTGATCAGAAGTACAAAACAACGCGTTCAGAAGGTGCAATCGCAACAGTTACTGAGCTGTTGCGCCTTCTGAACGTGCCCAATGGAACCAGATCTCTATCAGTATCATATCGTTGTTGTTGCATTTGCGTGCAAATTTTTTTCCGGATCCCGATCATTGCCGAAGAAAACACAGCTATTACTGAGCCCTAAATTTATGCGATTGCGGTTGTGAGAAAAAGATTTGATTAACTAACAGAAAGTTCTTAAACTAAAAAACTTCTTTTGGTTCATGACTGCGGCCTTTAACAAAATAACTTACTTCACTTTAGAATGTATCCTGAGAAATATTGGAAAAGACGTATATTGGGCCACAATTCCCATATTTTATGTCTTTTTCTTCTTCAGCTGCGTATCCATTTGTTGGATGTTCGCGATTACATACATACAATACGTTTTAGTTTATAGTTTTGATTATCATATCAAATTAGTCTCTGTTTTTCGCTTTGAACATCATTTCTCCAATTGTTTTCATCCCTGTCCATTCTCTTATGTTATCCAACCACGTATTTTAAATATTGGTCATTATTTATATGATTCACTACTCGAAAATATCTGAACCGATTTTGAAATAATAGTTATCGATAGAAGTTTGTGCGAACTATATGTATTGAGTTGATCTGGTAACACGTTATGAAGATGAAGTAAAATTGCACTGTGCATGTCAAAACATTTTTGGTTGCATTGTTCAAGGAAATTAATATTCAAACTAGTAAAAAAAGGTATTTAGAAGGTATTAACTATATAAATTGTGTAGTAAGACTAGTGGAGTATAGAGGAACTGCGGATTTGCAAATATTTGGCCCACAAAGGAACTTGGATCAGCGATGCAGCTGGATGTGTAGTTTGTGTAAAAGCGGCAGTATTTGTGTAAAAATACTTTATTTCACAGCAATAACAGTTTTAAAATACAATTACATTCCCTTGTGGATTAAAAGGGCTACTACGCATTATATGTTGATGGGATTGTTGACTATGCACTGCTGATTTCCACTAATTGGACTTGTTTATGTTTTGCTTTTAATCTAGAGTTGCCAAGATTGTAACGGATAAAAATATGCTTTCAAACTAATTTTTTAGACATTTTATTTTACATAAGAAATATATAAGCCCTATGACTAATTTTTTACTAAATATATAAATAATTAATAGTGCATTCTTGATCTTACAATAGAGGATTTTGCTATGCATAGAAATACATATAGCTAGCTTAGAGTGAAAAGTTGCTAAGTCTACTTTTTATGTAAACTCATACACAGCAGGCTAGCGAAATTAAAAATGCATATTTTCGAAAAGTGTAAAGGTCGTTGTTTTATGTTTTCTCGTTTATATTCTATGAAAAGAAAATTTGCTAAGTCCAAACAAAGGTCCGGAAGTTCGATAACGCCAAAATAGTAGGAAATATTTAAAAAAAAAAACCAAATCCCTCTTATTTATATGGAGTTTCATTTTGTCTTAAGCAGGCAAACTGTTGTATTCAAAGTTTTGCGAAATACATACTTGAAGAAAATGGCTATAAGAAGTTGTTTTCTCTCTTGTTCAATTTTTAAATTAGGGCTTAGCAACTTTTCACTCTAAAAGTTAGCGATATATTCTGCCTGATCACCTTCACCTAAAATTTTGATTCCGCCCATAGTAAATACATGGAAACCAAAAGAGAAAAGTGAACCGGTTTGGGAAAAATGAAACTCCTGATAAGGCCGATTGATGCTCATTTACGACACTACATTTAATTATAGTGCCGCAATAACCCTCGCTTAGAGCGCCTAGTCGATAAGAACGCTTTCACCCATGAAGTGATTAATCTCCGGCTTAAAAAAAATATTGATGCAACAGTTAGTTTTTGATTAAATAGCTATTATTGACATTCGATTTGTCAACAAGTGCAGATACATACCCTAAAGCTTTAGTTTAAAATAAATGAAAGATTCATTTTTAATACAACGAATTTTCACTCCGAAATATACCTACACAGATTAAGCCCATGCATATAAATTTGTATGCACATATAGTATGCTTGTATGAAAACTTGCAAGTAGGCATATCGATGATCGTCTGCAATACCGACACAACTCAATCCTTACTTAAGCTAGTAGTAATCATTATTAAAGTAAGTATTAAAGATTAGACAAGGATTAGAGACATGATGCCCTTAATAGTAGTAAGGGCTTTGCTTTTTGAGTTATGTTGTTATTGCAGCGGATCATCGATTTGTACATAGGTACATACAAATATATGTATGTATATTTACGATCATCATTCAAATTTATTAATATGGCAACAGTTTCTTTGTAGCATTAACACTTTATTTCGTCTGCTATTTTCAGTCACTGATGCAGTTGGTCACTGATTAGCACTCTACAGCGGTGTGAACTCATGCCAATAAACATCCGAAGCAATATACCTGCAACAAGTCTGAAACGTTATTCCTTTATTTCCTGATTTGATGTAATTTTGCCGAATAATGCAGCAGGAGGCCATGGAGGCGGAGGGCTCTACTTATATGCTGGTAGAAACATTGAGTGTTATTTGGAAAAATTATCTTAGTACCGGCGATGACCGCGAAGCTAAAGTGCGTTTAATACATACTTGTTGCTTACTTAGTGTCGATAAAGTTTTTCTTATTTGTTTTAGTTACATTGGATGGAATTGTTTCTGTTTTATTTTCAATACGTTGAAGAAGATGCTTTACAGTCAGAAGTACTTATAAGGTAAATGCAGTTATGTTTATAATAAGAATTTCGATGAGAAAATTTTTCTTAAATGATATAAATATAAATATATAAATATTAATCCGATGCTTTTTGCATAATTGAAATCCTTTAACTCTCTTCTTATTTCAGTTTGTTAAATAATATTCCAGAAGAAACAACCTCATATCTCTTGGAGACAGTGTGCTGCATCATAAATAAGTCTCACTTATCAATTTCTTCATGTACAGCAGAAAGCAATAGTACTGACCTAGTACAAGATGAGATAAGCAAACTCAAAAGCGATGTGAATTCCTTTCCGAACAATAAAAGTTTTACACCGGTAACGTTTGTACTAATTATCTTTAAGGTTGTAATATAATTACTAAAATAATTACTTTTTTTAAAGCTCATACTAAATGCACCGAGTGACTGGAGTAAAATAGTTGCCCTTCGCAGCTTTCTTACACACAGTTTGGGTAAACATTTGCTTCGATTTTTATTGCGTGTGGATACCAAGGTAATAACTTTAATTTGAACAACCAAGCAATTTTTTAACTAGCACAATTTCTACAGCTCATCGCTTCACAAAAAGGCCTTTGCACTTTATGTATCAAACTGTTCCCGAATTGTAAATGGAACACAGCAGACATTAAACTAGACTCTTCCCCCTCCATATTAACAGTCATCGCTAAGATTTCTCCATTTCAGTGCCCAAACTTGCGAATTAATCGTACTACTACAAATAAATCACAATTTGAATCACTTTCATCTCAACAAATTGAGAAGGAACTTGATGGTTTTAAAAGCAGTATTGCTAGCAGTGATGAAATCGCTTTCTTGGTGATACAACTAATGTCAAAGTGCGTTTCAAATGAATGTGAGGATAATCTTAATCCCCAATCAATATCAGTGCTTTCATTAAATTTTGCATTGGAATGCTTATGTGGCAGTGATGAGATGTATAGCACAGAGCAAAATGCCTGCAAAATTAAGTATGAACTTCTGCAACTTATAATACGCTGCATCAACAATATATTTAATGCTTCTTCCGGTTTAACCGCTGTACAATTTCAAAACGTATTCTCAAAGTTAGCCACCATCTTACAAAAACATGCTATAGAAGTCGTAAACCCAAAGTCTGGAAATTTTGCCGATAGCAGAGAGTCCGCTTCAAATAATTTTAACATTGAATTTCTAAGTGCGACCAACTATGTACTGTTTTACATCCTCCAAAATATCATAAGTCACCTACACAAATTGAAAAGACCGTATCATGATTTGGGTAGCAAAAGCAGCTTGAATGATTTTAAGTTCGTTGATGAGAATGTGATTGATGTAAGCATTGAAACATTCCAAAATGTGTTACAGAACCTAAACACCAATACTGATGGAGATGCCGAAGCGTCAGTGCTCCTTATGCTGACCTTCAAAGCACTTATTAAAATAATAGATCAGCTTTTCAAGAATGATCAACTCGTTATGAACAATTCTATTCACCCAATCGGTGGTCACGCACGCAGAAGGCGCCACCTTTTTCGGCAGGTACATTGCTGGTCGTCACAAGCACCAACATTAAGCTGCTTCTTTCAAGGCACTTTACTAAATTTGCTCTCTAAAATCTCTGTAGATATGCAAGAGTACGCTGTACGTTATTTATTACGTATTGGTATTTGCTGCTGCCACTACACAATAAATACCTATGCCACATGCTTGGATATAGTTCTAGCTTTAGCTCCGAAATATCAAAATTACATTTATAAATTTTTGCATCGTAAAATACTCTGCACTATTTTTTCTCATGGTGGTCTCAATAAACATCAAGCAGAAAACTGTGCTAAATGTGATACAAAATTAAAATCGCCAGAGTTTCGAAAGGAAGTTTTGCAGCTCTACAAACAACTTCATGAAAAACTCGTTAATGGTAATGAAGAAATCTGCAATAAATTGACTGCACTTCAACTTTTGCTAAAGCATTTAAAATGCATATCAGATACTTTGAACAGCGACATTGCTGCAGGTATTCTGGCCGAACTTATTTTACCCGCGTTCCGTAAATTTAAATCGGATATACTGAAAAGCCGAAATTCGAACAAAGCACCATCGAATGAAAAACTACCGCAATCCATGAACAGAAACTCACCTATCACTGCGTCAGCCGATAAAAACGATGAAACACCAGATGCCACATTGATTTGTTTCGGTATTGTACAAGATTGTTTGAATATTTTCGTTGCCTATTTGGAAATAGATATACGTTTAATAAAAGCTTTCTACAACGAAGAAAATATATCACATTTAGAGGATTTGTTTGGCGAACCGACACTAGTTCATAGCATATGCGACCTCATTAAAATCGGCATCGATAATATGGCATTTTTGGGGGAAAGCAGTAAAGAACAAACTGTGTTAAGCCAACGTCTCATTATGCTGCTATTGAAAAGTGGTAGAGAGCACGCTTTGCAGTTCAATGCACTACTCGACTATTCAAATAATTCAGCTGCTAGCAAAGATAAGAAGGCAGAAGAACCAGACATATCACGTGCGCCCGATATTTTGTATGCTGCCGCCTTACAGTGGTCATTTACATATGAGCTATTCCAAACAAGTCAGTGCTTCTTTAACGCCTTTTCGGCGATATATAATTTAAATAAAAATCAAGGTATGCCCATTGACCACGATGATTCAAACCCGCAACGTACAAGTGAACCGGATTGCTCACCAAATGCACTTTGTAACGACAAGGGGATTGACGACATTTTGACGCTAAACTATAATGCATTGTGCACTTTTTTGCAACTTTCACAACGAAAATCTACGATTGCCTCTAAACCCACACGCCCACATTATCACATCAATACATCAACATCGCCCCCAATACAAAGCACAATGTACACAGTAGACCCCGAAGCCATTAAAGAAGACTGTTGTTTGTCAAGTTCACTGGAAACTTTGCTCTCAAGCATTGAGGTAGATGCGATGCAACAAACGGTAGACTCAGTTAGTTTATCGATTGCATCGAATGCGGCAACAATTGCCGGTGTAAACGCTTCATCGTTACATGGCATCCAACGCTTGCCGAAGGGTGATAGCACTTCTCAAATAAGCTTGCATTTATCTACAGAAGCTTTCAATTTATCATTTTTGGATACATTAAAACACCATAAATCAATTCACTTTGAAGATTTGTATGCAACTGAGACGGAGATTGGGGATTACATTGTAATTTACGACGTTCGCAACCAGGTCAGTTCACATGCTGTTCACAATTCAGCATTATCCATAACAACAGCGACGTTAAACGCTTCCAGTGTCGGCACACTAGCCAACACAACTGTGTGGAACTGTGCCGCTGATGCGCTTTCAACATCAACGGTGGTAGTTGGGCCGGAAACTCGCGCAGCGGTACTAAATATTGGGACAAGTATAATCGGGAAATTATTTAGTGTCATAGGTTCGATTTTTGGTGGTGCTAGTTATGCAAATTCAGTAAGCGATTTAAATAACAGTACAAAAGAAGAGTGCCTAGGTGAAGGCATCGATCCGATACTTATTTGCTTATTAGAATCAAGTAGCGATAGCAAAAGGTATCTTCTACGATTATTCGAAGCAACATTGGCAATAGCAATTAAAGGTTTTAAACAAGAAGGAGGTAAGTAACATTTTATTAGACTCCCAGATAGTTAAATTTACATCAAAGCATCAAAGTAGGCCTTTGATCTAGCTAAGCTTTTATTAAAATAGTAAATAGCTAATTATGCGTAAAAATGCTGCTCGAAAAAATAAGTTTTGACCCCTCGCAAAAAACGACTGCTTTCGATTTGAAACCTCTCATTAGGAAACTCGGAGTCATCGTAGTTTGTGTACCATCGTCGCTCTTTCAAGTACTACGCATCTAGTGTATCAAATGCCAGTACCCTCAAGAATTGGCCAAATTCATTCATACTATACATCATATGAATTATGGAGGTCTGCCCAAATTTCAGTGTGAAAGCACACAACAACAAAACCCTATTTCCTTTTTCACGCACACCCTAGCCACTTGCAGAAAGCTTCGTGCGAGAATAAAGGTCCGCAAGCCGTAGTTAAAAACTATATTCTCGTAGTTGCAACATACCAGAACACTCAACAAACATCCACTGAGACATTGTGCGAGTCAGCCTTATCCGGAACTGCCTAGATTTGTATCTGGCTAAGGATTGTAACTCCAGCAGCATGCTCCAAAAACCTTTGTGAAATTTATATGCTGTTAAAACAAAGTAAAGCTTTGCGGACGCTTTCCACCAATCAGCGTGGAGTGGATGGATCTTCTACGAGATACGAGGTACACTTAGCCAAAATATGTTCGTGTTGGAGTAAGCGCCAGAAACAAGCTATCCCTCCTACCAAAGTTGGTAGCATATCGTCTATCCACGTATGCTTATCCAACTCTTCTGCCCTAACTGCAGGTGCCTAATGATGAGTGAGGCAACCAGGTGCCTTGTTCTCAGGCTCTCTGATTCGGATGTAGAAGATGAGAACTACTGAGAATCCTAGTCCCAGTCAAGTGCCACCATTGTTGCATATGTAAAAACGACTTTTGTTAGAACGTATGGCTTTCTTTTCCTACCGGGTAATTATTTGTGGTTTCAAATATGGTAATAGCTCATGCCAACATCCAGGCATATATACATAAAATGTACTATGCATGCATACATATGTCTGCAATAGTAAGAATGTTTTGAAGCCATATTAGTGATTGCTACGACTAATTCGACAAAAATTATGTTTATAGCCCAATGCTTAGAACTTGAGCTGAGTACCATATTTTTATAGGGAGATACTTTATTTGCATTCCTTGTTCAATAAATCTCAAAAAAAGCTCTGGGATGAGATAATCGCAAAGCAATTTGTGATTTATTATTTTTTTTCTAAATTTATAATTTTTTCATTGAATGGAATTGGCTATTCGACATTTTAGTATTTAATTTTGTAGCAACCATATCTGCTTAATCAGTTAAAAACTTTCTAGAGGTTGCATATATGTATGTACATACTTCGTAAATTTCCTTACCCACCAAAGCAACGGCAGCTGAATTATCTTTACATTGTACAGATGACTTCAAGATAAGAATATTTTAATTCTCAAAGCAGTGTGTGATCTTAAAGATTAAAATAATCTTATCTTTTCTATTACAAATACATATCCTAACAGTGTAAATAATAAGATAGATTCAACAATAATATGAAAAACTTTTTACATTTTAGCAGAAGCGATGGATAGGCATTTATTGAAACTGAAATCAGTGATATTGAAAAGTGCTATATCCAACTGGAGTCAAACGCACACAGAGGAGCGTACGCGCGAAAACGCCGTGGTAAAAGCTTTGCACAGCCTCCTAAGAATAGCAGAGCAATACTCTACCAGCAAAGCCCTTGCAGATTTCAATGAAAGCACCGACCTTGATAATACCGCCAGTGAGGATGCGGCTTTACAATCGACTCTCCGTCCGCGTGCGCGATCTTTTACCAGTACAAAAACCCATGGCAAAAACAGCAACGCGACCACACCACGTACGCCTGTGCCAAAGAGGCCGATCTCCGGCGAAAGTTGCGATGCAGATTATTTTTCCACGCGAATGTCAGTATTCTGTGAGAGTGAAATGGAGCTCAGCGAGAATGAGCACGATGACAACTATATAACGGCGGACGAGGGCTACGAAGCTGATGGCGAGATACCTGAAATATCTGAATCTGAAACTGAGTTGGATAAGGCAGAATTTTGGAATTCATTTCAACCAAGTTCTCGTTATCGTACACATCTGCTACACGATGGTCTTTGTCAGTTGGTAGTTGAAATTCTTATTGAGCTGTCAGAAAGATGCATCCACAATCCGGTGGGTTGGAGTGACTGTTTGGTGCAACTGGCAAATCGTCTATTCGTAATTCGTGCTCATATAGGAGATTCACTATTTTTACTGCGTGGCTTTGCGCCAGTTTTGAAGTGCGGCGATCCACGCCTGAGAGGTTTGTATCATAGATATAGCGGTTGAAATTAGTTGCAGCAGTTAAAACTGCTCTACATGTACTAAATATTTACTTTTTAGAACTTCAACAAGCCTTGCTAGAGTTAATTATGGACATAAACACTCCTGAAGTTATCTGCACATATTTTAATATCTTATCCGCCAAAAATCCGCCTGTGGATCTTCTAATAAGATATCTGAATCATAAATGTGGCAGTAAACTGAAAAAGCCTCAACCCATGGTCGAATTGGAATTCCCTATGGCGATCGGTAAGATTTTTTTGATAGTAAATTTCGGCTATACTTTTAATTTATGTATATTCCATAGATGGCAAATGCACTTCAACGAGCGATCAACGTTTAACAATGGAAATCGATCGCATTCGAAATCAACATATAAATGCGCAAGCCACGACACCATTGTCTCGTACTCCTTGTATCATACCTATAACCCATGCCAGACTGTGGGGCAATGACGGTTTCACACTTTCGTTTTGGCTGCAACTGAAAGGAACAAATATTAACAAACCCTCATCTTTAATTGCAGAGGATGACCAGCGCAGTTCTCTCGAAAACAATCTGGTAAGCCAGTGTAAAATGATTAACTCTGAGTTGGTTATATATTCTGATTTTTCTTATAGAAAACACACATTGTTTCCATAGGCACCAACCAAGTAATGTTAAGTGTTTATGTTGATAGCAATATGAAGTTAGTTTTCGAGACAAGCAAGCCGAATGCCGAGATCCAAACGCAAGCTCAATCGCCGTCAGAGCCAGCAAACGGGAATATGGAAGAGAAAAATCAATCCTCAGCAAAAGATGCTGTTACTGATTCAAAAACTCCTACTCCTTTGGTTAGGCCTACAAGTGCATCCACAAGTCCATCCACTCTGCGAGTTGCTTTGAAACAGACTAAGCTTGTGATTCTTAACAGCTTTAATAACATGCATCTTTTCAAATATCATAACCACCATCATTCGTATGAGAATTCTTCTGTTGAGCTGAAATTATTTCGATGTACACGGAATAGCTGGACACATGTCGCATTTGGAGTATGTGCTCATCAAGATCATTTAGAGCTAACAGTTTACATTGACGGTGTGGAAGAAGATGTTATAAATTTACATTTCCGAAATATCCGAAGTTCCATAAAAAGTCACGCCTTCCAAATAATATGCCTTGGAGACAGCGCATATTCAGTTATAAGTTCCAATGGCTTGGGTGATAACACAGAATCGCAACGGTTGAACTCTGAGGGATACCCAATACCCTTTAGCATATCTAACTTAATGCTATTCAGTAACAAATTTGCAGCATGGGAAACCATAGCCAACTTGACGGCAATGGGACCGGACTTTTCAGAGCTTGCTCCACTTCAAGTTAACTCCTGGCAGCCGAATTATGGATTTGTAAATTTAAGTAAACTGAAAAAAGCCAATTTTGGTAGTGTTGCGGAATCAATTAAACTGTTGTACGAAGCTCGTATGCTATCCTATACAGCAGAGTCTCCAGATATTGTGATGGGCTATAACAATGAATCAAAAGACGGAGGCGTAGTCAGTGGTGAGTTAAATCTATTGTTTTTACATCTTTGGTTTTTGCATCTTGGTTTAAGCAGGGCTTAATTTCATTCGGCATTGCAACGCACGTTAAGTTTTTTAAAGTTGTACACTTTTAGCACTAAATATTTCAGGCAATGGACAAAATAATTTTTAAGCAAAAACCCGAGTCAAATCCTCATATAAAATGTAGGAGTATCGTTAATTTCTTCATGATCCAAGGATCGGAACAAGACCAAATTATTATGGTGGTTGTTTTTTTCATAAAAAAAAAAGATATTCGGTTCTACATTAGCCGGATTAACATCGAGCACACACTCCGACTAAGCAAAGACCATCTCACAGCAGCAACCCTCCATTTTTTTCGCCATGGGAACATGACCTACCAGCTAATATCTTGGACCTCAGTCCGCTACAACAGCTGCAATGACTGGTGTCACCTGAAAGACCACCCGGTCCGAGGCCAGCGCGTCAGGCAACACAGGCACCGAAGGCATAACAAGGAGTGCAGGCGCGCAGTGTCTTCTCACCCCGCGCGTAACCATCACCCGACCGCAATCAATTAAGCTATTACAGTTTAATAGCAACGGCCTACAAAGTTAGATCGCTGAGAAGGACGATTTCATGAGATGGAATAAAGTCTCAGTCGCGGCGATCCAGGAGAGCAAACTCTAATCCGGCTCGGGCTCGGGCCTTCAGAATCAGGACGAGTTCAACGTTCTCCGAACAGATCGCCCCCTGGGGTCGTCCTTATATTGCATAGCGCGGTACAATACCGGCTCATTATCTTCATGGAATTTCAAGGCTTGGTCATCAAGTCGGTGGATACAGAGCTGGAGATCGTCAGCGTACTTTCCACCCGCCCCCAGTTACCCAGCTGGATACCATGCCAATACAAATGCGCTAGATGAACTCTGGCACTCCCATCTGAGCAATGACCAGCGGAGTCCAGAGCTCGCTGAGCAAATTGACGACTCCACGTTCAGCACTGTAAACGAAGAAGGCGCGGGTGCTTACTACAGCTCGCCAGGCATAATAGCCAGTGGAGGTCTAATAAACTGCATTGGATGGCAACCAGTGCTTACGTTCACATCATACCATCTGCCCATAGTAGTCGCAATAGACCAGCCGAGAGATTTTATTACATCTGAAAACCGCACGGTCCATGAACACAGTGAAGTCCTACCGGGACGGTTTCACGGAATTGACCGACCGCAAACTCAATGCTCTTCCACCACCATCATGCGCGTGCATAGCTGAGCGCAATATCTGCAGGATCATTAATGCAGCAGCCGCCAGCTTCATACCAGCCGGCAGGATTGCCAAAATTCGACCAGGTTTCCCCCGCAGAAGCGTTGGGAGTCGCAGACGACCGTGATCCCGGCGATCTACGTGTATCAGAGATCTCAATAAGGACCTTAGAGACCTGGTCAATATACATAAGCGGAAAACGTAGAATGAGCAATTCAAGACCTGCAATCTCTCTAGCGGAGCAAGCAAACTGTGGACCACATACAAGTCTCTTGCCAATCCGACGAAGCGTTAGGACAATGTTGCCCTTACCACCACCACAACGTCGGATCCACGGGCGTGCAGACGCTTCATCAGCCGGCAATTCGATGCACACCCACAGAGAGACAAAGCTCACCGCAGTGTGCTGCGTAAAGCACACAAACTCCGACCCCAAGACACACCAACGTGTTTTACCACAGAAGAGACACAAGCACTTTAGGTCCTGCTGAAAAAGCTGGGACCTGCAAGAGTTGTGTACATCATTGAACTCGTACAGATCTCTCTCCTATCCCCAGTGACAAAAACCATGAAAGCACTACTCCTCCCCACCCTGACGAAACATCCTAAGCTAGCCGAACATCAGCATAGATTCCGGAAAATACACATCAAGACTACAGTATCACAATGCACAGGCCATCACCACACTCATTAGCGAGGGTCTGAACCAACGTCGTCCTTGTGATCTGTCGAAGGCGTTCAACATGGAAACCACGCGACCCTCTGCCAAAACGTCCTGGAATCGACGCTTCCAGCTCAGATGAAGCGGTGGATAACCAGCTATCTGTGTGAACGACAATCATCAGTCGAATTACGTAACGCCAAGTCCAAGCCGCGTGGAATTAAAAGTAGGGGCCCTCAAGGCGACTTACTCTCCTGGACACTATTCAATCTCCACAAAACTCCCTCCGTTGTCAGCCGGAGTCAACTTGGTTAGCTATGAGCCGCGAAATCTTCACAACATGGACCAAGGACATCAGCCTCTGCTGCTGCTGACACAGTCTTGCAAGTCGCTAGCCGGCCGCATCTGGGTAGCCGAAAAATAGGGTTTGCTCGCTACCTACAAGGCGATCGGCCGGTAAACTGTGCAGCGCCAGTGTGGTCGACAGGAACGAGCGACACGCAGTAGAGAAATCTGCAAATATGTCGAAGGCAGTCCTGCCTTCGGCCACAGGCTGCCATCTCATGTCTTCCGAGCATCACCTCCGCGAAGAAAGCCAGATGCTGGCAGTGAAAGAACACAACACCATGTTGTCGAAGCAATTCCTCGTGGAATGTCACCATGGAAATGATCCCAACAACGCCCTGATTCGAAACGATCCGCCCCCACGACACGTGACGACACCTGCCCGACTGGAAACCAGGACTCGAATCGTAACATCCGTTCGCGATTCGAAAGCTATACGAAAGAAAATTACGTGATATCGTCAGTCGTATAAGCTGAATGGTATAAAGAGTACGTTCACGTATATCATAATCCGAAAAATGTGTTTTTACGTGACGAGTAATACGATATCGTATGTGACGATTCGAGCCCAGACGTCGAGCCGTACATAGATCATCCGTTCGAAACAGCGGCGCTCAACAGCCGACTCCTGCCCATAAATATAGAAGAAGCGAAACTACTGAGAGAGACCAGATGCACCCTGGACAATTCCGTTTTTCGTGGGGCCACCGACTCAGCAGCTATCTCTCGCGTTGCTGTGTACTCTGTTGACAATGGCGGCTGCATGCGTGAATACGCAGTTGCAGTCTGACCTCCTTGGCGCAGGTGGTAATTGCCGAGTATTTGCTCAGGGAGAGGGTTAGGCTCCTTGCGGTGAAGAAGAGAGAAATTCGGAGACATAGCCGTTTATTTTGGAGTACAATTCATCAATTCCATTACCACGACAGCCGGTTCTACGTACCAAAATGACTCGGGTTTTACCCGACCAAGGGCTGTTGTTTCGGCGATTTAACCCCGTTTAGGTCAAAGTTGTGTTTCTGCCATGGAAAAGTTTCTCATAAAATCTATTTGACGTACGGAGGCGGGGTAAAACCGTAGGTCTCTCCACTTGCACAGCGTCAGGTATATCTTCATTAGAATCCACGTATAAATACAAGACAATTTTGAAGTGATACTTCTAAATCCAGTTCGGAGATGTTTGCGTTAAAGATTTAACACCACGTACATATGTATATCAATCGATAAAGATAAAGATAAAGATAAAGATAAAGATAAAGATAAAGATAA